TTCATCTGCCTTTGAAACAATATACTAGGAGCCTTCTATTAAATTTTCAAGCTTTTGCAACCAACAAATAAAATTTTATTGATATTTTTAGAAAAAAAACTAAAAACAAATGGAAAATGAAAATGTCCCTAAACATTTCAAAATAAATCAAAATATTTTAAAGATGTTATCGTGTATAGAAAATGCAAATATAAGCAACCACTGAAAATTTCATGTATCTACGGTCATTTGTTTTAAAGTTACACCAAAAACCAAAATCGATTTTCTCGAAAACAGATTTTGCGTAAAAATTCCCGTTTTTCCCTAATTTTTCTTTTGTTTTTCCCGGCGCTTTTGAAAACTACTGGGAAATTTAAATTTTGACCTCCTCAATGCACCAACGATATTCACTTTCCAATCAAACAAGATACTGAAGTTGAAAATCGAAGCATTATTTCAATAGTTCAATCAATTCTAGAAGCCAACAAAATAAATAAACAATTTTTTTCACATACAAGTTTTCCAAAATGATTGTTAAACTTTTAAATTTTTTTTTTGTTAATAGTTAATACCCTGCAAAATTTGTAAATTGTAGGTTATTATTTAATGTATTATTAGAATTAAATAAATTACATAAGTACATAAATATAAAATATTGGATACAAATAATTAATAAACTTATAATCGACCCTCTGTGTGGTTAAATAGTTTGTTAAATGGTAAATGAGAAGAACCACAGGTTGAAATTTGAATTATTTGCACTGCGGGCCAAATTGTCGCTGTCAATCATTTATGTGTAATAAATATAACAACAACTATTAAAAATTAGTAAGAGTATAATAGTATAATATACTAATAGTATATTATACGTGTATACTGAGAATTAAATAATATGTTTTTATTTTCTCAAAATAATGATTACCCGTATAGTCCCATGACGTTTCTATTTAAGGGGACTGCAACGTAGCACATTTTAAGGAGTACTATTTAGGCAATTCATGTGACATATAAATTAATACTGTATCTATGTGTGAGTAGTAAATGAACATAAGTGTGCGTAATCCGTTATCGTTTCTGAGAATCGCTGTCACGTCGAGTCGGGCAACCACGCCGCAAGCAATTCTCACATGTAAATACATCGCTAAAAATGAAATATAGATATAATGAAATGTATTAATGATGTATCAATTCATATAATGAAATATATTCTTGTTTGCATGATTATAAAAAATACGAAAAGCTGTAGTAAATCAATCATACTTCCCGAAATTCAATTGTAATTTCGAAAAATGCTTGAATTTATAAACTTTTAGAGTATGCTTCTTAGGAATCACTTTTTTTTATTTAAAATCAGATGTGCCCAAGAAAAATTATTTCATGGGTTTTCTAAAAAAAAAAAATGGTTATTTTATGGTCATTTTAAATTGAAAATTGAAAATCGACTTCCTAAGAAGCCTAGATATTTTATCAATGAATTCAAACATGTATAAAAAATTTAAATAGGAAATTCCGAAGTATGTGTAATTTATCACCGCTTATTGGTCTAAAACGTATGAAAAATACGTGCTCTGCAATCAACTTAATAATAATATAAATATAATATAAAAACATATTTTCTGGGAATAAGCTATTAAAATATTATTATTTATCACCACTGATTAAAATTTTAAATACTCGTAAACTGTTTCACAAATTTTATAGGTTGTTAGTTGTACAATATATTCATCATTTTATTATTTTAATATCTATTGAAATCTCATAATATACATAAATAATGCGAAACACTACGACAGTCTTCAATATTTAGAACGAGAGAATAATATTACATGAATAATATTTGGTTTTTCAGACAGTTATTATTATTATTTTATGTATAAATAGGTTGCAAAAATCAAAATGTAATTTTAAATCTATGAAATTTATATTAGGAAAAATAAATAAATTAACTCGTTAAGTTAGGAATTACTTTAAAAAAAAAGAAACTCGTTAAGTTAGAAGTTACTTATGAAAATAAAAGTAACTTAACTTTTTAACTCGTTATTGCCCACCTGCCCAGCCTTGCATATTAGTACATCATTAAACTAAGTAATTACGTATTTACGATCGTCGGGATGCTGAAGTATCTACTGCAGATGTAGGATTGTATTAAGAGTTAAAACCAAACATGTAAATTGTATTTAATACAAATATAATTTATCTTATTAAAAATCAAAAAATGCATTAATGATGCTTTGTGGTGTATTCATAAAAGTGTTTACTTATACCATCTTATCATGTAGCTGTGTTTAAAATTTAAATACCGTTCAATATCCTGACCAATATATTTAAAAACGGTGGGTAAATGGATGTCGCTCTGATATACAGTAGGTTACTATAGTGTTTCACTGTACCTATAATGGATGGTATTAAATTTGAATTCAATGATATTTAATATGTAATTTCAGCCAAATTTGAAAATTAAATAACTATAAAAAAAAACAATGTTTTTATAACAAAATAACCTACTTATGTGGAATTTCAATGTAAGTTTTCAATCCTTTGCTATAAAAGTTGAACATTTTATACATTTTTAACTACAAAATCATTTTTACATTTTAAATTTGGTAAATGTTGACAACAATGGAACTTTAAATGCTTATAAAAAAATTGTACCTATATATTTTTATCTGCTATTTAAGAAATATTTTATAAGGAGCCTTGTATTACATTATGACGATTTTTGACCCAACAAATACAATTTAATTGGTATTTAAAGAAAAGAAACTAAAAAAAATTGAAATTTGAAATTGTCCGTAAATAGTTCAAAAATAAAAAATCGATAATTTTTGGAAAATGTTATATAACATTCAGTGAATATTTATGTGTCTAAGATTATTTGTTTTAGAGTTACACCAAAATGGGTTTTGTCGAAAACCGATCTTGCCTAAAATTTAATGTTTTTCCTTAATTTTTGTTTTGTTTTTCCCTTTGCTTTTGAAAATTACTTTGAATTTTAAATTTTGACCTCCTTAATGCACCAACTAGATTCATTTTCTCATTGAATAAAAATACAAGATACTGTTAAAGTAAAATGAAATAGTTTTACTGCCATGAAAATAATTTAAAATATAAAAATAAAAAACACACATCATTGTAATATCAAAACATCATGAAAAAGTTTACTTAAACCAAACAGTAATTTTTTATGATCGTTTGAATTTATAATTTTAGATTCTGAGTGTAGCGAAATAATGTAGTAATTTTACAATGATGTGTGTTTTTTTTCTGTCTGCCAGCATTATTTTTAGTAGTAAAAATGTTCCGATTTTCACGGGCGTGCCCACGGTTGCATCGAATGCTGCTTTCGCTGCACATGACAATTATTTTTGGATTTAGTGGACTGGTGGATATTTATTTGAAAAGGATACATAAAAAAAAATAATTTTGAAAATATTCAATTTAAAATTAAATTAAAATACAAATATTCAATGTTATTCAAATGACAAATTATAATACTATTTTATCAATACGGGATGTCTAAAACCTATTGGTTTTATATTATTGACTGAGAACAGCAATACACCATAGTTATATCATAGTCATAATTATTCCTTATACTATGGAACACACTTATATTACAGACACAATTGCTCTATAACCATTCAACCAGCGAAGTGATACGAAAATGAGGTTTTAAGAAGCCTGGTCTCGTGTCTTTAATAAGGGGCACTATTTAGGCAATATGTAATTTCGTTGCCGCCGCTTATGGCATTTTTGTTAGTCGTTAATGATGATTAGTGTGAGTGTGTTTGTATGCAGGTACCGAGCTATCTACTCACGCACTGCATGTACGCACATGTGAACGGCACCGCCGTTGCGGTGAATGCGGTGAAAAAAGAAATTTTAGGAAAATCCACCAGAAAAGTAGGAAATCTGGTAGTCAAAAATACAATAGTGACGCCATCTGCCCAGGAGAAAAATAAATATATTAATAATATATTTTTGTTTATTGTAAGGTTGCTATTGATTATGATTGTTAAAGTTTTAGTTGATAATTTTGAATTTTTTTTGTTTATTGTTTTATAATGCACATAAAGAGGAAATCAAACCTTGACCGCTCCACAAATGGTGCCAAGAGTATGCGCTTATCTAGGAACAAAATAGTAACGAGGGGTAAAATTATCTGGAGTCATCTAAAGGCTAAGAAATAAAAAAAAAAAGGCTAAGTATTAAGGTTTTGATGGGAGATATGACCTGCATTGTTTGACCATTTTGTTCTGCGCTGAAATTCAAATCAGAAACTCCTTCAATGTGTTGCCTTATAATCTATACTATAAAAGCAAGTCCCGATTTTTTGTAACGCATACAAATCCACACCGTTCAACGATCGTCAACAATTTTTTTACTGTTATACCTGAAAGTCTGCTGTACCATAAAAATTAAAAATTTTATTTACAATAAAAAATAAATATAAAGTTCTTGAAAAATTAAAAAACAACTCTAATCTACTTATGTATAATATAATATACTTAAGTATTTGTATGGGGGGGTATTTTGGGTATTCAAGTGACCGATTTTTTCTGATATAATATTACAATGCAGTGACGGCTCCGCCGCCGCCGGGAGAAAGCCCATATCGGGGAAACGGAATCTTCTCATTAGGCCGTCTCTTAAGTACGATGCAAAAAATCGCCACGACAGCGCCACACATGTTTCTGATTTATAGTATAGGATAACTAGGGGGACCACCTTCATCGCGTTTAAACATAAAAAACTACTTACATGTACCTAGTTAACCATATTTGTATTTATGTTATCAGTAGATTTCTATTCTATTAGTTACATAATATTAATTATAATGTTTATGCACTTGGCAACTGTTTAACATAACAAATAACAGGGTTTTAGTCAAAGTAATAACTTAAAATTCTTTAATTTTGATTTTAAGTATACTCAGTAAATAAATCTACGAAAAATAAGTTGAAAAAACTTTAAGGAACTAGTGGATTTTCTAACTGCATACCTATAGTTGTTGAATTATCATGTGTCAACCCGAGGTAAGAACTAAACCATTTTTACACATTTGTTTTCTTTATAGACATATAGTTATTATAGGTATGTTATAATGTTAAATACGACATAATAATAGTAATATATTTTTGCAACAATAATATAAAATACATTTTGTGTTATACTTATCCAAGATTTCCGACTTAACACTTTTTTACATACGAAATAGTACCGGACAAACGACGGCGCTAGCACTCTATCCACCACAGATTTTGTCTTGGACGGGTGATGACTGACTTTCTAGAAACTCTAACATGGTTTTAAAAAACATTTTTATACCCATATAAAAAAGTACAGGACATACGCTAGAGGATCGTATCATTAAATTGCCGATTTCCATGGGCCATGGGAGATTTCTAGACACTGAAACTCTACTTTTAAACATCTTCTCGGCTTCTAACCAGGCCTTATCGCAAATTCTTATCACCAAACCACCTCCGACCAAAAAAATAACCTTCATTATAAGTGCGACTTTTATAATTCGGCTGTGTTTCCATAATTGGTATCCACTTTTAGCTTACACTGTGGGGTTCAGGGGTCTCCCTTGGCTAGACCGGAGGGCTAGTAAATTATAAAATAGTTGTCCATTTAAAACGTATGCCGTCCTATCATAGCTCGTAACAAATAAAATAATTATAATGAAACAGGCATTCTTAACAGGTCAATATATGTACAAATACGATTCGAGACCAAGCGCTCATTCATGAACAGCAAAAGTTAAACACTGAACTGTTAGAGCTCAGAGAATGGACGGAACAGAGAATGAACAAGCAAATGAAGCTGCACGACCGGATGGTGGTATATTACGACCGGAAGTTGACAAAATGCAACGTGTACGAAGAGGAATTGGAACGAACTCGCACGGAAAACGCACGTTTCAAATTCACCTCACAGTGTCTGGTGGACAAGATCAAAGAATTGACCAATACTATTGTCGAAAAATATTCAACCAATCCCTTAAATAATGATGAAGTTAACGATAGCAATAAAGATGAAAATTGCAATATAGAAAACAATCAGGATAAAGATAACGATAACGATACAGATCCGATAGCTACATACTTGGAGGCGAGTCTATTTTTAACTCATAAATGTGTATAGAAATAGGAATGGGTATATATTAAAGTTTAATCTGTCTAGAGTGAGTTCGTGCGGTAGTGCAATATCTGATCTTGGTGTATATTGCATATTAACTGTTAGTTGAAAAAAAAAGTAATAAGAGGTACATAATAAATTAAGTGCTCCTATTTAAATTTTTTTTGGTGTTTTTCAACAACTCTATTGTTATTAGTGTTTGCTGTAACTACGAACGCAAACAGTTTTATACATGAAAAAACCACCCCCAGGGTTCAAAAATTGATCCAGGACAACAATTTTTTTTATCTTATATTGGAGCCATTTTATCATTAGGCTGTTAAAGTTACTGTAAGAGTAAATAACAAATTCAAGTATTGTAATACTTATTATGAATAAAATACTCATTACCTACCATTAATTAGGTATAAGAAATGGGGGACAAGTGGGTCACTATAATGTATGGGTCAATATTTAGATATGTATTACATTTTAGACGATCATATTTAAAAATTGACTATACCAATATCCGTTGATCACGTGCCCAATTCTAAAATGTAAGACTTAAACAAACTTTTACGCTTTGTATACTAAGTAAATTATTAATAAATGATGAAAAACACAATTTTTCTATGGAGAACACCCCTCCCCACAACTAGGCTCACCCATAACCCGTACTAATATAATATTATCTCCGCGTGCTCTCGTACCACATAATGTCATGGGTATAATATTATAAAATTCTTGATCATTCCTTTCTTGCCTTTCATGCATTTGCATTTTTTTTCTGAATAATTTTATTGTATGCTTAATATAAGTATCACTATGTTTGTCATAATATACTCAAACATATTTTACTGCTTATTTTGCATATTTTTACGTTTTTAATAGTCATCTTATTTTTAGTTTTAAGGTCATATTATGATTGTTTATCGAAAACTAAACACTTTGGCTAATATTTCTCATGCATCATAGTCAATGGGTAATTTAGATTATAATATAGTGCAAATGTGTGTAACCCAAAATTTGTCAAATCATTTATTACTTATATAATATGTTCAATATTGTTGATAGTAGGTGCATATGAGATATAGTGATTCTACATACTAATTATGTGTATTTAAAATGTTTAGATGCACAAATTCATATTTTTTTATGATCATTTTTTATTGTATTTAAGTCTTTAATATAAATCTAAATATTATATGTTGCAGGTGTGTTCCAAAACGTTAATAGACGAAGTTGGCGCATACAAGGAACAGGTCGAGAAGGCGACAATAGAGTTGGGCAATCTCAAAGACCAGCTGACCAGGTCAGTGGAAAAACAGGTAGTCCTTAGGGAGTGCGTGAACGAATTGACAGTGCTGTCAAAAACAGAACGGATGAAGCGGGACCAAGATGAGCTGGAACTGCGGACGACGGTGGACCGACTGACGGCCGAGCTTGTAGAGGTGCAACAGGAGATGGACCGATTGCAGTCGGTCGAGGCTGAGATATCGGTCAAGTTGATGCACCGCGAATCTGAGCAGGACGATCTTGATGAAGCGGTACGTTCAGAAAATGCCCGGCTGCAGGCTCAGCTGGGGAAGAGTGCAATTTTAGAGGCTTCGATGCAATCGAAGATATACGATCTGGAGCTGGAGCTGTCCAAGCGAAGGGAAGCTTCAAAAATGCAGCAGGAACCGTATCAGATCAGCTTTGACAGCGAGACGATAGACGGTTCGTCTACGTCATCGATAATGTACCAGTGTACTCTGTCCCGAACGAGCGACGATCAAGTGGCTAGTTTTCCAGACCTAGGACGCGGTGACGACCAATTGATACCGTGTTTGTTGTCGTCGACAAAAAGCTGCGTCGTCGCTGAGGATGCCCAACTATCGTGTTCGAAATCGACCAACTATGACTGCCAACCGTCGTGTTTGGATTCGGCCAACGACGAACACCAACCGTCGTGTTTGGATTCGACCAACGACGACCACAAATCGTCGGGCTTGGATTCGGCCAACGATGACCACCAACCGTCATGTTCAACGTTGACTGCTGTGAAAGGCAGCGCCCAAACTGCCTCTGAACCATCACTGGATGAGTTGAAAAATCGTCAATTGGCTGAAATTATTAAAAAATATGTGAGACGGCACGACGATAATTGCTAAATATTTTTGTTATTGCAAGTAATGGTATTTAAATTTTTTTTTCTATTGTCTGAGCCAGTCTTGACAATCAACCGCACACACTACGTTAAACCTCCCACAGTTACAACAGCTTAGACGTCCAGCTCAACCGATAGTAATAGGTGAGCTTTGGACAACGCTTTATAGAAATCAGTAATCGGAAATAAAATTCATAGTTAATTTACCAAACATTGCAGTCGCAATAATTATAGTATTATGAGTTATGATATTACGACATGCATCCAAACGCGTGTAGATGTCCCGCCACAATCGAAGCAATAATCGAACCTTCTTTGACACTTCGGGTGACCGGTGACCGGTATTTCTTGTCTTTCAGGCTCTGTTCGACGAACGTGAAACTGAACTGATCTCTTTTCGCACACGTTAAACGTATAATACATATAATATACTATATTATACATTATATTATAATGTTATACAATCATATATATTGATGTTAATAAACGATATGAACAGTATGTGCGTTTAGACGATGAGCAATGGTGGTTTTTTCCATAGAATTTAATACTGTATTAAGAGAATAAAGAATGTTACTCTCGACTATGTAATATTTTACCACAGATAGCCAGATGGGTATGAGTGTATGTCAACTATTTTCTGCTCACTTTGCTTTATAGGTATAAATAATAGATATCGATTATAAATTTTGCAATTTATGTAAATAATAATTTGTATTTAAATTTTGTCAATAATTGTAGTTGAGTGGTTGTATAAACGATAATTAATATATACACAAAGAAATGAACCTATTGAAAATTACCGTAAATAAAGCATTAACCTTACACGATGTAAGCATTGTCATCATTTATGATCATAAACAAGGAACTGTTGACCAAGTCACAAATTAGTTAAATATAAGGACATCTGCAGCACATGACCCGTCCAAATCAAAATAATCTACATAATTAAGGAAACCCATAGTTTACCACAGCCATTTAGACCAAAGCAGCCCCCCCTCCCCTCAGGACTATATTCGGTGTAGTAGGACATTTTCACCCGATATATTTTTGAAGCAGACATTTTCCCAAAATTTTTTTTTAAAGTTCATTATTGACTAATAATATTGAATTTAATAATATAATATTATTTAATATTTTGTATGAAATTTTTTTTTGAAATAAATTAATATAAAATATATAAGTGTTTTTATTTTCATAAATATAATGGATTATAAATGTATATGTTAAATCAACTGTACTACTTCCCTAATACAATAAAAATGAAAAAAAAAAATAAGTAGTTATAAAGTTAAATATAATTAATAACTAATAAAAATGGTTAAAATTTCAGACATAAAAATGATACATTTTGTAAAAAACATTTGAATTCTGATTCTTTTATTATTTCTTAACTTATATTTTTTAGCTTTTGTGCATATTTATTTAATCATTTTTTTTTTTTTAAACCGTACTAGTTTGAATATTTAATAATTTAATAATTGTTTGTGAATTTGATTCAAATACCTAGTTCAGTTCATCAAAAATATACATCTATAGTTTATTATATTAATGAAAATATTAGACAATTGGCATAAATTAATTTCATATTAAATAGTACACTTTAAACAAAAAAACATGTCCGCATTAAAAATATATCGAGGGGGGGGGGGTGAATGTCCTACTACACCAAAACAGTCAGACGGAAAATGTTCGCGATTCATATTATAATATACATAATTAAACTCAATTTGTTATGGTATTTAAATTTCAACTATGTTCTCACTGCAGTCCACCAAACCTAATGTACATTTCAATCATATTAAGAGGACGCTACCCATGTATTTATTGTCTCCGTCTTACACACGCACGACATACCAAATTTCCATTCGCTAGTTTAAATAGTGTGTTGTTAGTTTTAATATTAGAGTGAATTGACCTATTATTATACTATTAGGTAATAATATTATCTGTGCTTAAGCGTTGGCGATTTTTAAATATTTTCATTTTCAAGTAAGATATGTGTACGTGAAATATCAAAAATTTCAAATGCTCATATCTCACTTGAAAATTAAAATATTGAATAAAAGCCAACGCTTAAGCACAGATAATGTTATTATCTAAATATGTTATAATAGGTCACTGGTCAATTCACTCTAGTATCAAAACTAACTGCATACTATTGAAACTAGTGAACAACAATTTGCTATGTCGTGCGTGTGTAAGACGGAGACAACAAATGTATGGGTAGCGTCCTCTTAACTTCAATTATTGCTGTAAACAAACACTACTGCAGTGCAAAAACTACTGACGTTAATTTATTTATTGTTGTTGAATAACATAATATTGTTCAGAGTATTGTGTTTAAAACAACTATCCGCATATTCCATGAGTTCTATTATTTTAAATTGTAGGTACACTCACACCACTACATCAGCACGGGCAGTTGACAACTGTATGCTATGAACTTAACCTATAAAAAAAAGTTACGTACTCACATATTAAACGTATATTATATTAAGTTATAATTTATAAATAAGAGGTTTTCTAAAAAAAAACTGGTGAGCGCGCGGATGAAGTGAAACTTAGTAAAATAATACAAAAATAGAACAGTAATAAAGTAATACTAATAATAATAGTTTTTGATTTCCAACAAAATTATAAAATTTATAAGAATAGGATGTACACAAAAATACATAACTTATTGGTCATACATGTATGAATTTACATGTAATGTATAGTTGTACATGGTAATACAATCAGACATCTGTTGACTGTTTGGTACTTAATTTAAAACGATATTCAACATTTGAATCAATAATCCACTCAATATAGGGCTCTAAAAAAGGAGTTGCCTTGCAAAAAATACTAAAGTTTTGAAACATGGAGAAAAGTTTCGTCTTGAGGTCCTGATTGACCAAAAAAATGCGGTTTCCTCTTCGTAATCATACGTTTTCAACTGAAACTGAATAAAACAAATTATTACCTATATACCTTTTGTCCTATAAAAATAGTAGGATTGACTGTACATTATTATTGCTATAGGGATAGCTACAACGTTAATCAGATTTACTAAAATATAGTCAAGTTATTATAGTCATTCGAACTGAAATATGCTATTTTAACTATATTTTTTAGTTAATTCAAACATTAAAAACTGCGTAAACTATAAAATATAGTAAACATTACCATAAAAAAAATAACTAAATTTAAAATATAGTCCTAATAAGTAAATCATTTTAGTTATTTTACCTATTAAGTATACCTAGTCATATTTAGTATAATTAGTTTAACTATAATAGTATAGTAATTTTGTTTTCGTGCACTATACAGAATTATGTTTGCAGTTTTTTAAATTTCATTATATTTATTTTTTTCCGCTTTGTTGTTGTTACATCTTCGTGATCTGAATCGGAATGTTGTAGAGGACATTATTGAATTCGCAATCGCGGTACATTTTTTTTCGATCTTCTCTATTTGTGAATTTATTCATTACCATCATTATTTCAAATTTGAGAATGTTATGTATAGTTTCATTATTTATCAATTTGTTAATGCCTTCAATGTCATATTTAATTATTATAGTATAACATGTATGTACTAACACAAGATACATAATATCGAAGACTTAATAGTATGTACCTATTACTGTATTATTGTATTTTTGTTTTTTCTCTGAGTGAAAACCGTCATAATCATATTATTGTATTGAGAGTATGTTAACTTGTTCCAAATAAAATAATTGCGAGTGTTTTAAACAATTAGTTGGTTCCTATATTGATATAACTTTTTAATGACTTGTACACTGTAGTTATATTTTACAAGGTTATTTGCACAAAACCAACTATTTTTAACCAATTTGAGCATATGAAAACTTTGACATCACTATTTTTTAAGTAATTTGTTTAAACATTAGTCTCATTTAATAATGTAAATCTAGCGAAATAGTAAATATACAAATAATTTATTATTCGAATGCACCTCTTGTACGAACAATGTTCACTAAGTTTAAATTGTGAAGTATATTTTTACTAGGCATTTATGAAACTGCGTCCAGTTGCATCGGTTATCTCCACTTCTGCTTACTGCCCACCATCACCAGACTTCCTTGGGTTTAGCTAAGTTTAAGTTTTTTGGTCAGTTTCATGTGAGCTATGTGGTCATTGCACCATACCGATACGACCACAGAGACCCCCCCCATAAGTATCTTGCATTTTCCTTAATCCCATGTGTCACCTCCCGTCCTCGTCTCAGTTGTTGTTATGAACATTAGGTTGCCTACCCTCCATGGTAGAAGGCGTAGACAGTTGGTCAGCCACTTACAGTGTTTTTTTAAAGCACCAATAAAAAAGTATTGTTTTCAAACAACCACATGTGGTCGTTCAGCTTTGCTGTCTGTCACAAATATATTTGTGATATATATATATTTGTGATTATTGTCACAACGTATAATATCTATCATAATTAATTGTTATTCATAGTCATAGCTATATAGTTTTTTTTTTATTTAAAGTACTTAATTTACACATGTAGATATATCTTACAATTTGTATTGATTAATATTGTGTAACATCGATCTCTCACTTCCAATCCATTAGCTTGGAGGATGCACACCTACTGTTATTATTACTATTTTTGTTGTAATATGAGTGTAATGCAGTTCCTAAGAATGAATAAATATTATTATTATTATTATTATATAGGTACATTAATATAATATGTACCAACTATTATTCCTATTTCCATAGGTATGAGTTAAAAGCGTATAAGACTCACTTCCAAATCTGTAGCTATCATGATATTTATCTTAACCGTGATTGTTATCGTTATTTTCGGAGTTGATTGAAGATTTATTTTACACCACTAATGGTCAAGTCTTTAATCTTGTAGGCCACTAGGCCCTAAGACACTGTGTGTTGAACTTAAAACATACGTTTTCCGTGCCATTTCGTTCAGAAAAATACGATATCCTAACTTTCATAAATTCTACATTTCTTTAGATACCTACCTATATTGGATATTAAA